TCCTCCTACTGACACACATGCCGACAGACACACAGACACACGCCGACAGACACACAGACATATACTGACAGATACACAGACACATACTGACAGACACACAGACACACACACACTGACAGAGACACACACACACAGACAGACTTTACTTTATTGCTCCCTACCTTTTGGAGCTGATCTGGGGCATCTCCCTGGGGTCCTTCTATTTGCTCCTCACTGTTCCCTTGCGCGGTTTAGTGGTGCCGGAATAGGACTTCATATTCCGGCACCCGGCTTCACTACAGACGGCGCGAGGGAGCAGTGAGGAGCAGGAGCACTGAACTCCCTCGCTGGCCCTCCTCCCCTGCCGGGTAAGTGTTAGCAGAGTAGGTACCTGCAATGTGGGGAAAGCAAGTGCCTACTCTGCTATAACACTGAGCATGCACTCACGGCTTGACATGCTTGCTTTATATTATATACTGTTAATATACCTCTCTATGTCCTCTTGGGATCTTCTCCATAGAACAAAACACAATACTCTAGGTGAGATCTTACCGGGATATATAAAGTACTATCACAAATTCATGGAGGTGTGTAGAAGCTGGCTTCCTGCCCACCGACTATGGGCCATATACAAAGAGACTGTTCGGGAGTTAAATCTCACCAACCGCCATTAGCAGCTTGCCCTGGGTGCCCCTGGTTTGGCACTTTCCCTTCACGCGAATGGAACCGAAAGCTGACTCTCTTGCGACCGTGTCTCGTGAACCTAACCCACGAATAGTCCCAGCAGTACTTGGCTGCAACTGCTATGGAACTAATTTCGGCATTTTTGTGGGTTCCTGGTCACCTCAGCGGGACTTAGCAGCGAATGTTATGGAACTGTTTTCGGCATGCGGTGACCGTGCAGTTCCCGGGCAACTTGGTTTGCGGTTTTGAACCACTTTGAAATCCCCCAGGAGGGCTTTTTAGAGGGAAGGTGTCTGAGACTAAAGGGAACAAACGCTACCTATGAGCCAGCCGAAGCAACCCGTATTGTGGCCGCAGGAGCTCCCGGAAGTTGACCAGCAAAAGCACCAAACGCCCTGGAACTGTTTCGGGCATAGGACCATGTGTGCAGTAGGTCAGAACTTCCACACGGTGGCGTTTCTCTACACTGCATGGATCTGAGCGCTATTTGGAGAACTTGGGCGCTCAGATCAGGACTATTTAACGATATATAATTTGTGGGGGTTCCTATTTGTTTAGTATGATTTTATGTATTTTGATACTTTGTGTTTTTATGCCGAGTAACTCTGACACAGGAATTTGTGGACATTTTGTGGGAGTGTTCTGGGCGTGTTTTACTGCATCCTTGTTTTGTATAAAAGTGGGCCATTTGGCCATGATTAAAACACATTTGTTTCTACCCTTCATCAAGTCTAGGCTGATGCTTGGGGAATTGGGAGCTATAATCACTGCTTCACTGCGGATTTGGGAGAACTACAGCGGATATACCCAGCCGGAGTATAGGGGATTAGTTACAACTACCTCTCTATGTCCTCCTGCTATATAGAACTGAACACAATACTCTAGGTGGGATCTTTCTTTGTACAGTTGGGAGAGAATAAAGAGGTGCCACAAGAATATTACCTTGGTGGGTAGATTAGACATAACAGAGGCCTCACTTCTTCCACATGATTCTTCTTCAGATACAAAAGGAACTCGTCCTTCTAAAAGATTTGTAATTGTGGTATCTACACATTTAGTGCGGGCTGATAGGAGAAGAGAAGGATTTCATCAAAAAATGTACAATTCCTCCTGTTACTTCATAAAACCCTCCCTATAACTCCTCCTATTACACCATATAACCCTCCTTATAACTCCTCCCATTACTCCATATAACCCCTCCTATAAGGCCTCCTATTACCCCCTATAACTCCTCCTATAACTCCATATAACCCCTCCTATTACTCCATATAACCCTCCCTATAACCCCTCCTATTACTCCATATAACCCCTCCTATAAGGCCTCCTATTACTCCCCCTATTACTCCCTATAACTCCCCCATTATTCCATATAAGCCTCCCTATAACTCCTCCTATTACTCCATATAACCCCCCTATAACTCCTCCTATTACGCCTTATAACCCTCCCTATAACTCCTCCTATTACTCCTTATAACCCTCCCTATAACTCCTCCTATTACTCCATATAACTCCTTCTATTACTCCATATAACCGCTCCTATTACTCCATATAACCCTCACTATAACTCCTCCCATTACTCCATATAACCCTCCCTATAAATCCTCCCATTACTCCATATAACCCTCCTTATAACTCCTCCCATTACTCCATATAACCCAACCTATTACTCCATATAACCCCTCCTATTACTCCATATAACCCATTCTATTACTCCATATAACCCTCCCTATAACTCCTCCTATTACGCCATGTATCCCTCCCTGTATTACCCAATATAAACCTCCCTATAATTCCTCCTGTTACTCCATATAATCCTTCTTATAACTCCTATTACTCCATATAACCCCTCCCTATAACTCCTCCTATTATTCCATATAACCCCTCCCTATAACTCCCCCTATTACTCCATATAACCCTCCCTATAACTCCATATAACTCCTATTACTCCATATAACTCCTATTACTCCATATAACCCTCCTTATAACTCCTCCCATTACTCCATATAACCCATCCTATTACTCCATATAACCCTGACTATAACTCCTCCTATTACACCATATAACCATCCCTATAACTCCTCCCATTACTCCATATAACCCATCCTATTACTCCATATAACCCATCCTATTACTCCATATAACCCATCCTATTACTCCATATAACCCATCCTATTACTCCATATAACCCATCCTATTACTCCATATAACTCCGCCTATTACTCCATGTATCCCTCCCTGTATTACCCAATATAACCCTCCCTATAATTCCTCCTGTTACTCCATATAATCCTTCTTATAACTCCTATTACTCCATATAACCTCTCCCTATAACTCCTCCTATTACTCCATATAACCCTCCCTATAACCCCTCCTATTACTCCATATAACCCTTCCCTATAACTCCTTCTATTATTCCATATAACCCCTCCCTATAACTCCTCCTATTATTCCATATAACCCCTCCCTATAACTCCTCCTATTACTCCACATAACCCTCCCTATAGCCCCTCCTATTACTCCACATAACCCTCCCTATAACTCCTCCTATTACTCCATATAACCCCTCCCTATAGCCCCTCCTATTACTTCACATAACCCTCCCTATAACTCCTCCTATTACTCCATATAACCCTCCCTATAACTCCTCCTATTACACCATGTATCCCTCCCTGTATTACCCAATATAACCCTCCCTATAATTCCTCCTGTTACTCCATATAATCCTTCTTATAACTCCTATTACTCCATATAACCCCTCCCTATAACTCCTCCTATTACTTCATATAACCCCTCCCTATAACTCTTCCTATTATTCCATATAACCCTCCCTATAACTCCTCCTATTACTCCATATAACCCTCCCTATAGCCCCTCCTATTACTCCATATAACCCTCCCTTACCCAATATAACACTCCCTATATCCCCTCCTGTTACACCATATAATCCTCCTTATAACTCCTATTACTCCATGTATCCCTCCCTATAACTTCCCCTGTTACTCCATATAAATATACCTATAACTCTCCCTATTACTCTGTATAACCCTCCCTATTACTCTGTATAACCCTCCCTATAACTCCTATTGCAAAATACTAACCTCAACTTCATTATAGCTCCTCCAATTTTTTAATTTTTTTTTTTAAATACCCTTGTATCCCTCACCCAGGTCTTTATGAATCACTGATAGCGGGACTTGGGGTAGGACTTCTTTGACCCGCTGTACCATGCGACTGTCTGCTGTGGAAGAAGAAACACTTGCAGCAGGAGGTGGAGATTCACGTCTTCTCCTCTTTAAATGTTCTGCTCTGTCCACAGCAGTGTGACGTGTCCCGATGATCCCCATGGAAAGCGCCATTAGCTAGAAGGAAGAGTAGAATGTAGGTTGCTTATAGCCTCCTGTTAAACTAATACCATGTACTCCCAACACTAATCAATGGCCTGCAAGATATTACACAGGACCATCACCAGCCAAACTTTCCATAATTCTACTAACCTTTTGTACTCGAGAAGAAAACTCTTCATCAGACTCTTTTGGATATCGGAAAACTGGCGGAAGCCATCTATAGAGGATGGTGCACGTGTTAATATTAAGAAAGATAAGATGAGAAAGTAATACTATTCAAACTTTGGGAAAAGTCGAGGATAGGCCGGTTAACCCAGAGATGTAAAAAGACATGATATAGGATATGGAAGTAGACCAAGGCAGAATGAACTCATGTTTTTAAACAGCAGTATGATGCTTTTAGAGAATGCATAATTGATTTAACTGGTGAAAATAGGACCTTATACATTTGGTATGAGTACAAAGATTATAACAAAACTACACAGTGAAAAGACTACAAGAATTTAACGTGTTGCATTACTAAGACGTGTGTCCATTGCAAGTGTTAATGTACAACTATGCATATGTGTACTAAAAATGGAGAGTTCTATTGTCAGCAAAGCATAAGTCCAATGTTCCTCAGTTTCAATCTACTAATGAATGAGTATATATTGAATTGGTCTGTAACAACATAAACTACAACAATGGGAAACAATGAAAGCCTCTATTAGCACTGGGAAGGAATACACATTCCCGTCACATACTTCCAATGAAGAACCAACAAATTAAACAGGAAGCACACAGGATGAATTATTAAACATACAAGAAAGGCTGTTAAAAATGTTACTATATATACATAAAAAGACATATTGCAAGCACTCTTCCTATATACAAATTTACTACACTTTTAGAGAGGGAAGCAGAGAGATTTGGGGATATGCAGACCTGTCCGATACTGAGCACTGAGACCAGTCAGTATATTACAGAGATACTGGGAGAGTTCTGACATCACATGGTCACTGTCTGATACCGAGCACTGAGACCAGTCAGTATATTACAGAGAGACTGGGAGAGTTCTGACATCACATGGTCACTAACAGGGATATACAAACCAGTCTGATACCGAGCACTGAGACCAATCAGTATATTACAGAGAGACTGGGAGAGTTCTGACATCACATGGTCACTAACAGGGATACACAGACCTGTCCGATACCGAGCACTGAGACCAGTCAGTATATTACAGAGAGACTGGGAGAGTTCTGATATCACATGGTCACTAACAGGGATACACAGACCTGTCTGATACCGAGCACTGAGATCAGTCAGTATATTACAGAGAGACTGGGAGAGTTCTGACATCACATGGTCACTAACAGGGATATACAGACCTGTCTGATACCGAGCACTGAGACCAGTCAGTAGATTACAGAGAGACTGGGAGAGTTCTGACATCACATGGTCACTAACAGGGATACACAGACCTGTCCGATACCGAGCACTGAGACCAGTCAGTATATTACAGAGAGACTGGGAGAGTTCTGACATCACATGGTCACTAACGGCAATATACAGACCTCTCTGATACCAATTACAAAGACCAGT